AATGTGTTCGTCCCATACTACGCCGCCCACATCCTCGGCTCCTACACCATGAACGTTGAGCGGTACGCCGCCCATGCCGTGCGGTACCGCGCGGTTCCTGCGCTGGCCGAGCTCGCCATGGGAGCGCTGACGTGGGTCGAGCAGCGCGTCGCCGTGCGGTGCCTCAGCCACCTCGCCAGCTATGACTCCACGTTCCCGGCGGTGTCCGCGGGCGGCGTACTGCGGCTGGCCATGGCCGTGGCACGTGGCGGCCCTGGATTGGTGTACGAGCAGTTTGTGGGGAAGACCGTTGATCGGCAATTAGGGTATCACAAGGAACTCTTGGCGAGGGGGAGCTCCGGCGAGGGTGTGGAGCGCAAGGCGGAGGAATGGGCGAGCCAGCTCCAATGCTGGTCACTCCAGGTATTGAATTGCTTCGCGCTGCGCGAGGAATTCTTGCTGGCGATCTGCCGGCCCGAGTTCTTGGTGGATCTTCCGGGGATGTGGGGCGGCCTCGTGAATGGGAGCTCGCCGGCGGGGCTTGGATTGCTGAGGACGATCTGCTACCACAAGCTTGGCAGGATCGCGATCGCGAGCTGCGGCTCCATTGTGGAGGCGCTGTGCAATGTGGCTAGATCTTCGGATGATTGGCAGTTTATGGCGGTGGATTGTTTGCTGTGGCTGCTTCAGGATCCAAGCTCCAGATCGAAGGTATTTTTTTGTTTTGCTTTGCCTGCCTTTAAAATTTTCTTCTTTCTTGGCATTGATTGTATAATGTTTGTTTCTGTGGTTTGCCTTCATAGCTTTCTTTATGCTTTCATGCATATAGTATGGATTGAATCCGTTCGCTTATGTCGTCATTGGATTGAATTCTTCGTCAAAAGTCGATCTTTTTGCTTTACATAGCATTGAAAGTTTTTTTTTTTCCTTTCTTCCAAGAAGATATGCTTCCATGCATAGTATGGATTGAATTCGTTTACTTCTTTCTTTTTATCAAAAGCTGATAAAGGACGATTTTCCATTCTCTGGCTTTTTCTTCGTGGATGGACTCTGTTTTCTACTTTGGAAGAACTCAGCAATTTTGCATTGTTTTTTTCCAGGTTTATAGCAAGGCAGTGGTGGCTTTGGCCGACTTGGTCGAGCTCTCAAGTCTCGGCGAGCAGAAAAAACCCGGAGAATCAATCATGGACGTGCTCCTCTCGCATCAAAAACAGGACGAGCTCCTGGAGGCGGACGAGAACGTCCTCGCCGCCATTGAAGACGTCGCGAGGCTGAAGAAGCGAATCAAGATCGAGAGGCACCTGGCACGGGAGGACATCAAAATCACTCAAGCAGCAGCGCTGGTCCTCCGGCTGGAGGGAAACGCTCGCTTCTCGGCTGGCGACGTCCGTGGCGCGGCTGCAAAGTATAGCGAAGCTCTCGAAGTCTGCCCGATCAAGGCGAAGAAGGACAGGGTGGTGATTCTAAACAATCGAGCGCAGTGCTATCTTCTCATGGGCGATGCCGAGCGAGCAGTGAGCGACACCACTCGAGCGCTCAGCTTGTGTAGAGGCAAGAGGAGGAGGCACGGAATGACGAGCAGCCTGTGGAGGCGAGCGCAGGCTTACGATATGATGGGGCTGGCGAAAGAGAGCTTGCTCGACGCTCTGGTTTTCGGCTGCTCGAGCTCCTCGATCTCTTCGTGCTCGGCGTCCTCGGATGGCTGGGACGAGAGTGGAAGCCGGAGTAGCAGTGGTGGGAATCAAAGTGGTGTCAACTTCTACGTCGCAAAGCTCGTGAGGAAGCAAATGCAAAGAACTTGGCTGTTTCGGGAGGCCGCCAGGAAGAGCGAGATGGAGTTCCAGCCGCTGGAGGAAGAGGATGAAGAAGAGGAAGAAGAAAGATCGAACGAGAGAGAGGAGGATGAAGAACAAAGCAGCGGCGATGAGAGTGGCGATGAATCGGAGTGGGAGACTGCGAGTGAGAGTGAGATGTACAAGATCTCGCAGCGAAACCAGCAACAGCGCAGGCAATGGAAGCGCTAAGTCGATCGATCGAGAGAGCAACCATAAGCAAAGTAAAATGTGATATGTAAAGATTTTTCTAGGGCTTTGTAGCTACTATAGCGAGCGGCAATGGAGCGCCCAGGGATCCATGTAAGTGGATGGAGCTTCGATTTCATCGGTGGACGCTCTTTTCTAGTGATCCAGGGCGTGATTTCGCAGGAATGGAGCTCCGCCATGCGTATTTCCTTGGGAGCTTCCAGCAATGCGGCCGCGATGCTACAGGTATTGCGCAAGATTCTTGCGCTAGAGCTGTGGATCGATGCTTTTCTTGCGTTTCTCCAGCGCTCCAGCAGAGATTATCGCGATGGAGCGCCATGGCCGTGGGCAATGGGTCCCTATTATCGGATTTCCATACAGAGGCTTCCAAGACTGGGCATGGATCGGTGGAAGTAGCTCACAGGAGGATCTTGTTTGCGGCCGGGGGCACTGGCGGCCATGTCTATCCTGCGATTAGCATCGCGCAGGCAATCCAGGAGCTCCAGCCCAGCGCGGAGATCGAATTCGTGGGGACCAAGGACAGGATGGAATGGCGGGCAGTGCCACGAGCAGGATATATCATCAGGGACATTCCAGCGGCTGGATTGAAGAGGCCAGTTCTATCTCCAGAGAACTTTTGGCTGCCTTTCAAGCTCTTGGTGTCTATCATCGCTTGCTGGCGGATCCTTTCCAAGTTTAAGCCGGACGTGGTGGTGGGAACTGGCGGCTATGTGTCCGGGCCTCTGTGCTTGGCGGCGGCGCTGCGAAGAATTCCACTCGTTCTCCAGGAACAAAACTCTCAGCCGGGCCTCACGAACAAGATCTTGGGACGATTTGCGAGGGTGGTGTTTGTGGCTTTCGCTGGAGCCGCGGCTCACTTCGCTCGGGACCGGTGCTTGGTCAGTGGCAATCCCACGAGACTGGGATTCAACCGGTACGTTTCTTCGCTGGTGGCGAGGAGATTGTTCTTCCCGGAGGATGAGAGCTGTGCGACGAAGAAGGAAGTGGTGCTTGTGCTGGGTGGATCTCTCGGTGCTAAGTCCGTCAACATGGCCTTGTCCAGCTTCGTTTTGGAGAGCCTTGGAAGGAATTCTCGACGTTACATCATCTGGCAAACTGGATCGCAGTACTACAAGCAGGTTTTGGAAAGTGTCGGCTCGGGGCATTCTCGACTGGCAATCCACGGGTAGGTTTGTAGAAAGTTCTTGCCTCTCCATCTCTAATGTTTTTCTTGGTTTCAGGTTTATAGAATCCATGGAAACAGCGTATGCAGCAGCAGATCTCGTGGTGGCTCGCGCTGGCGCGATAACTTGCAGCGAGATCTTGGTTGCTGGCAAACCATCGATTCTTGTAAGTAGTCTCTCAAAATCTTTTCTGACAATAAAAATGCTGTTTTGCTTTTCGCAGATTCCATCTCCAAACGTGACCGACGACCACCAAACGCAAAACGCGAGGAGCTTGGAGGAAGCGGGCGTGGCGAGTGTTTTAGCGGACAGTTCCTTGCAATCCTCGCCACGAATTCTGGCCGATGCGATCGACGAGCTTCTGGGTAAACTTCGATCAAAATCGTTTGCCAGTTCCTATTTGGATTTTCCTCCAGGTGATCGGCAACGCCTAGACAAGATGGCAATGAAAGCACTCGATCTAGCAATTCCAGACGCCGCTGCGCGAATCGCCCAGAAAATCCTCGACATCGTCAACACGAATTCGTAGTTCTTGGCGCGATTATTTTAAAATTTTGAAATTTGAAAGTCCACGTCGCGTGGTCGATTCGCATCCCTTGTACTTGACAAAAGATCTCTACGCTGTGCGTTTCTCACTTTGACACGCTACGTCTGGGCTACGTACAGCTCTACCATTCCTCGCGAGCTCGATCACGTTTCCCTCGAGCTCGATCGCGATTCCAATGGCCGATCTCCAGCGAGTGGCGATTCTCCGCAGCACTGTTGTAGGAATCCAGCTCCCCAGGTCCGGGAGGCTAGTTTCTTCACAAAAATCAGGCCTAGGGCATCACAGGAGCTCCTTGTTCTTGGATCGAAGAACCAGCCAATCGATCAGGGCCAGTGTGGGCGATCGCGATCGGAATGGAGAGGGCCGAGAGGAGATTCCAGACACCTGCGATGGATTTCTCAAGCGGGTATCATCGCGAGGATACGATGAGAGAAGGAAGCTAGAGCAAAATCTCGAGTCCGGGAGCTACGATGGTATAGTCCTTCTCTTTTGGTGGATTCTTCTTTGTGGATCTAGGAGAATCTAGTCTCTGATATTTTTGTCTCTCTTATAGTGTTGGATTCCAATCCATGGCGGGACGATTCCAAGGCCGTGTATGTTCTTGCGGAGGAGGAGAATCAGCTCATCACCATGAGAACTCGGCGTGAACGAAGGTGGGATTTCTTTCTCCCAAAGGAATTTAGTTCTCTATCGATCGATTGAGTGATTGGCAGTGAAGTGGAGGAGGAATTGAGCTTGCTCTTCCCGAAGCGCGGCAATAGATCACGCGGGAGACGTGGAATCTCGTTTCGGATGCAAGTGGAAGACATTCGCCCGGGCGTCCTGGTAAGAGATCTCTTTCATTCTTTTTCATCGAAAATGTCCATGGATTTCGATCGATTTTAGCGATGATCCATCCAGGTTTTTGAGGACGAGGACGAAGCCGCGCGCTACTGCAGCCTCCTAGACGGGAGCTGCCGAGGAATCGCGGAGATCGAAGCATCAGATGTGAGGCGATCGATCGACCAAATTCCTAGCGCTAATGCGATCGCGAATTCTCTTGCAGGTTTTCGCGATGTGCCAGAAGAACAAGGCGCTGGCGGTGCTCTTCCGGCGAGGCGCGATTCCACCGCGGCCCGACCGCCTCCAAAGAACCCTAAACGCGCGAAACCACTCATTGGAAGATAATTAGCCTAATATAAGTAGTCCAATCCTGAGCCGTCCGATTGAGGCCCGGATATTCCTTCTTTCATGGCTTCCGGTTCGATTCCGAAAGCTTGCAAGGGTTAACTTAGGCTTGAGAGCGCCCCGGCATCGCGTGTTCTTCGCTCGTCATGGATTCCGTGGATACTTTCATCGGCATCACAGGCGCTCCGCGCGCCGTGGCAATCCGGATGCTCCAGGTAGGGCTCTCGTCCGAGGAAACGATATTATCGTCTTGCCCCGGGATTTCTTAGCTGATGGATCCTCGCAGGAGAATCGTGGCGAGCTCAATGCTGCTGTGAACGCGTTCTTCGGCGAATCGGACACCCCTGTGTACGTAGAATCTCGAGATTGTGGCTTCGATCCCTCCTTACCTTTTTTGTTTGCTCTTGTTCTTCCTCGCAGGCCTCCTTCACAGCCAGAGGAACCCGAAAGAGTGGATTACATGGACGAGGACGAGCCGGTTATTCCAGCGGCTCAGCCGAGAGGTTTAGGACTTCCGCCCTGGGAAGTTCCTCTTCCCAGACCAACGTTTGATCCTCTGGGAAGTCTTTTTGGTGGGAGAGGGATTGTCCCCGACATCGTTCCTCCATTCGTCTCTCATCCGAGAGACGTGAGGAACGTCCCGATTGATTGGCAGGATCCCGCTCCACCGCCGCCACCTCCGAATCTCTCCATTGAGGAGGTTACTGGACTTGAGAATGTGCCCCGTAGTCCTGGAGGTGGGATTGTTAGTATGGAGGATGATGCGCCACCTTTTCCTGGTTTTTATCCTCGGAGGAGTCCAGAGCGCGGTGCCACGGAAGATCCCGAACTGGAAGAGCAAATGGTCAGAGCGGCCATTGAAGCGTCAAAGATGGATCCCGAGACAGGAGCTGTAAGTGTTCTTCTTTTCGTTTTACAAGGTCTTTTCTAACGATTTCAGGGCTCTGCAGGATTCCGCAAGTCAATCTGTGCCGGGTACTGAAGACGATGACATTGCCCGTGCGGTTTCGCTATCCTTGAAGGTACACTCGGAGTTTTCTCGTAAAGAGTTTTATGGTTGAAGCGTTTTACCTTAGACTGCAGAGGACGAGAAGAGGTTTCGAGATTTACTCTCGCAGCCGGAAGATACAGCAAGGTATGCTTGATCGCTGCCGTTTCTGCAAGACGTGATTGTTTCTATTGCAGGGGAGAGAATCCAAGTACTGGTCCAAGCAGTTTCCCGACACGGAACGTCATCCAGGAGCCAGAGGAAACTCCTGACGAGCAGCCTTTACTCAGACGCAGACAGAGGCGCGTTGTTCCAATAGTGGAGGAGCCTGCTGCCGAGGAAGCCTTTGAGAGACAGCCACGAAGTGCTGACGAAGAGCATCGTCCAAGTGCGCCGCAGCCCAATGGCGACATGATCCCCGCTGACGAGGTAGAGGATCTCTGCAGAAAGAAAGTCAGTGCTGACGCTCTCGACTTGTCATGCAATCTTCAGTGGGCAGGAATATCCTCGGAGGAGCAGGACGAAGCAGTGATGCTGGAGGCGGCGTTTTTTGGTGGACTTCCCGACATCCAGTATCGTCCAACACCTGAGTTCGCTGCTGCTAGCGCCGCCGATGTGTCAAGTTCTCGCCCCCAGCAGCCGCTTTCACCCTCCGTCGTTGCGCAACGGCTGTTGCGTGAGCAGCAGGTACTTTGATCTTCTGTGGTTTTTTCTACTTTTCCCTTCCTGGGAAAACGAAAGAAGTTTTTCCATTTTATCACTCCATGATTCCAGGATGATGAATACCTGGCCTCGCTAGCGGCCGACAGAGAGAAAGAGGTGAAAGCGAAGCAAGACGCCGAGGCCGCGAGCGAGATGGAGAAGCTCCGGCGGCAGGAGGAGCAGCGCAGATCCGAGGCAGCAGCGGTAAGCGCTCCCTCCTTTGTCTCGTTTTCCTTGTTTGTTTCCTTGCAACTGAGTGTGTGATGTGAACAGGAGCTGGAGAGAAAGCTGGCGACCAAGGCCGAGTCGCTGCCAGCCGAGCCAACGCAAGAGGACGATCAAGCCGTGACGATTCTCGTTCGCTTGCCAGACGGTAGCCGGCACGGCCGCCGATTCAGAAAGTCAGACAAGCTCCAGGTGAGCTAAGTGCATCCGCACTGACACACATGTCGAGATATCATCAATCTCATATCTTTTTACGTGTCTCTCGCAGAATCTCTTCGATTTTATTGACCTCAGCCGAGCAGTGGAGCCTGGCACCTATAGGCTGGTATGTTTCCTCCCAAATCCTTTAGTCGCTCCTCGGTTTTGATTCGATTTGGATGGATTGGAAAAATTTTCTTTCTCAGGTGAGACAGTATCCGCGAAGAGCTTTTACTGGTGACGACCACGCTGCGTCGTTTGATAGCTTGGGCCTCACGAGCAAGCAGGAAGCACTGTTCCTGGAAACCATTTAAAGCGCGAATGAGAGAACGCGAAAGAATAGAAAGAAATCGCGAGGAAGAGCTTCTCTTCTTTTTTTTTGGACGGGGATTTGGCGCGAGCGATTTTTTGTGTGTATCTACGAGGGAATATTGGGCGTGGTATATTCCATCGAGCTCCAAAACTCACCTTTTTACGAATATTTTACAACCGAGTGTGAGTGATCTTGTGCTTTGTGCATTGCTTAGGCTAGGGTTCCTCGGGCTGCGCGGGCGGCGGCTCTCGATCGATCACCCGGAATTTCATCTTCGTATCCCCGCCGGGGCGACGCGATTCGATGAAGGGGAGGTAGCGGCGAGAATCGGGAGATTTTTTTATTCTCGCGCTTCTTCTTCTCGAGCAGTCGATCAATCTGGGACGCGCGCGGGCTTGCATTTGGATGTGAATCGATCGCTGCGGTGAGTTTTCCCCCTTTTTCCATATAGTTACTGTTTGGATGTCGATTCGATACATTTGAGCAGTGTGGGAGCGTCTGAGGGAGAAAACATGGCATGCCTCTCCGGAGCTCCTGGATTGCCTCTAGCCTGCGAGCGATTGGAGAAAGAGGAAGAAACTGGAATGGTAAGAGGATTTCCTTGAAGGAAGTTTCTCGAAAGCCGCTGATCTTTGTCTCGTTTCACGCAGCGTTAGCCCCAAAGCAGAAGCCGAAGAAGAACACGAAGAACAGAAGAAGAACAAGAGGAAGGAGAGGATGCTTGCCACGAGGTGAACTCTCCCAGGCCAAAGGACTTCCTTGGATCGAACAGGAGGGGAGAAGGAAGCCATGGCTCCCCTCAAGGGTCCTCACAATGAGAGCTACACGGACTTCTACGACGATTGGTCCAACACGCAGCTCCAGCAGCTGGAAGAACTGGAGCGCGCTCTCAACAGCAACATGTCCGAGTCGGAGATCAAAGCTCTGGTGGACAAGGCCAAGATGCACTACGACTACTACTACGGCGCCAAGGACAACGCCGCCAAGCAAAACGTCCTCCAAGTCATGACCCCGGCCTGGAAGACTCCACTCGAGACGGCCTTCATGTGGACAGGGGGGTGGCGGCCGACGATGGTGTTCCAGCTCGCCTACGCGCTCGCCGGCCAGCTCGTAGAGGCCGAGCTCTCGGAGCTCCTCTCCGGGGTGGACAGCCCGAGCCTGGCTTCGCTCTCGGCCCGGCAGCTCGAGAGGATCAACGAGATGCAAGTGAAGGTCCAGAAGCAGGAGGACGACATCTCGCACCGGATGGCGGTGCTGCAGCAGGGGATGGCGGACCAGCCGTTTGTGGGGATCACGCAGACGCTGGCCGCGAGCGAGGATGATAAGATGGAGGCGGCGCTGGATTCCAAGCTCAAGGATCTGGAGAGCCTGCTGGAGGAGGCGGATAACTTGAGGAGGGAGACGCTGCACAACATGCTGGACACGCTCACTCCCGTCCAGGCGGCTCAGTACCTGGTGGCGGCGGCGCAGCTCCAGGTGGCGTTCCGGAAGATTGGGGCAGTGAAGAACGGCAAGAGTGACGATTGAGACGAGCAGCGGCGGAGGAATGTGGATCGATCGAGCCTTCGATGGGTCGATCCAAGCGAGAGTGGCGACGATACGATGGAGAAGAGAGGAAGAAAAGAACAAAGAAGTATCATGAGACCAGCGAGTGTTAGATTTCTTTTCCAATCGCATTTGTACCTGGAATATTCTTGGTATTTAAGACTTGCTTTTAGGGTTCTTTACAGTCGCATTTGAATTTCGAATATTCGTAGAATGTCCCTTTTCCCCAAATGCGAGACTTTCTTTTAGGGTTCTTATCGCTAGATCGATCGCGCGATAGCTGTCGCGGCAAGGAGGAGAATGGCGGCGATGAGGCGCGGCGCCAGCGGAGGATCGGCGCCGGAGGTCGCCGACGCCGAATCCCCCGCCTCGTTGATGCTGCGCAGCTCCAGCGTGTTGCTGTAGAGGCTGCCGAGGAGATCCTCGGCGGTCTTGTTGGAGGCGACGGACGAGGAGGCGCCCGCGGCGAACTCGTTGGCCAGGAGGTTCTCGCCGCTGAAGAGGTTCTTGAATGTCTCGTTGTTGTTGGCCTTGTCCATGACGTCGTTGAACTCCTGGATCTCTTTCTTGGAGAAGTTCCCGGCCACCATGATGGTGTGGCCGGGCGCGGTGCCGAAGTTGCAGGATCTGTAGCTGGAGATGCTGGCGCAGGGCTTTCCATCGAGTGGAGTCGGGCACACGAGCTGGTAAGATCCGGTGTCTTGGAGATTGGTCCAGTTTTGTTCTAAGTCGCCGCCCTTTGCATAGAGGCTCGGGATGGTGTGCTTCGTGAAGGCGATGTCTCCGCCGCCCTCCACCAAGCAACGGAACGCTCCAGAGTAGTCGTAGTAGTCGTCGTCCTCCGAGCATCCAGACTTGATCTTACAGCCGCTGCAAATGCTCTTCCTGGGATCGTTGCTCGCAGCACACGATGTGGAGAAGAAGGATCTCACGGACTCGATGTCGTTGGTGATCTGTGGATCCCTGCAAGAACACAAAAAAGTTTGCCAAGGTGGGTTTTTCCTTCTTTTTCTTTTACTTCTACTTCGACTTACTTGCTGACCAAAGGCATGATTTTGTTGTGGATGAAGTATGTGACGGGGAGAACCCAGCCTGCCGATCTTCCGTAGCCGGTGTGGCAGGACTTTTTGCCGCGTAGATCTGATAGCTTCCTCGGGCAGCTGTCGGCTTTCACGATTCCAACGCCGTAGTATCTGCTGCTCTCGAGTTGATTCACCTCAGTCCGGATGGGGAGGAGTCCATACTGCTGGGATGCCTGGAGGATCTCGCCACCGTCAAAGATGCCAATCTTTGCGCCGCCAGTCGCGATCTTCTTCATGCAGCTCTCGGCATCGCCTTCGCCAGCAACGCTACAAGCAGAAGACATGAGGTTTGGTTGCTTCTCCTCTTTTAATTGTGCGACTAAACAAAGATCTTACCAGCTGTGCTGGTGTTCTCTTTCAGGATCAATGCCGTCAAGGATGGTGTTCATCCTCTTGCACAAGTCAAGCTCGTCTTCGTCTTCCACGCACCACACCCAACCTGTTGCAGAGGAACAGGCGCTGCTAAGATCTCTAAGCCAAGGCTCTGAAACTTACTTTCCTGGAAAGGATCGTCGTCGTCATCATCGTCCCCGGATGGAGGAGCTGCTGCTGGCCCCTGTGAATCCACCTTGACCACAAAGAGCGCAACGCAGATCAAAAGCAGCAACAACCACAGGTACGACCGCTCCATTCTTCCCTGTAAGAATTTTACCAAGCTTCCATCAACAGGGAGAGAGGTCAATCAACACTCGCGCAACGAGAGAGCAAGGAAAACAAGAAAGAACTTGTGAGGCGCCGAAGAGCCAGGCAGGAAGATAAGGCCGTGCAATGTGCTCAGCCTCGCAGCAGTGGCACAAACACTTTTCTTTTCCTGATTGGCTGAGAGGGAGCTAAAGTAATAGATATGCTCTCGCTCCTCGGTACTGCTAATCTTCTTGGTCATGAAACAGATACTTCTTTAACAGCATCGCAGAGAGAAAACGTACAGACAGCACATGATCAAAGATTCAACCCAGAGGAACGCAAAGACCTGTAAGCTACATTTGCAGGAGAGGTATTACTGACCTGAGACCTCTTTGTTCTTCTAGAAAGGCTTGATCATCTAGTATCTGGGCTGTAAAGGCTCTATAGCTGCGAGCGAGAGCTTGTCGCTATGTAACATGATATGTGAGGTGACTCACTTTATATATTTCGCTCTCTCCTTGACTAGCAGAGCGTTCCTCGTCACATGAAGTGCTCCTACGGGCAGAATATGCGCCGGCATCCACAGCGACGTGTGACCACGAAGCAAAAGTACGCTCGCAATGTGGGCGACACGGGTGCGAGCAGGAAACTAGCTGAGTTGGCCGCCACATCAGCTGGCACGTAAGATATGTATCAATTTACACATAGGCATATTAGCGATTGAATACTTAGATAAAAAGAATTTGAAAATATCTGAATAAATTGAATTTGAAAATTTAATATAGTTTTAAAGCAAATCATTTTCGAATTTGCGTTTTCTAAAGCTCAAACAGTTCTACAAGAAAAAGGAGACAACGTTTCATCAAACTTTGTCGACAGATTTTCTGATTCACCAAATATATGTAAAGATGTACAAAGGAGCTTCCTAAAAAGGTCAGAGGCAAAGAAGAAAGAAAATCTAAAGAGGAAGAGCAATGGTGGATGTTACCTGCGGCAATGGAATGGAAAAACAGACCTCTACAAATTAAAAACCATGGAAGGCCGCTTGATCGCTTGCTTGCTCGCTAGAAACGTAAGCTTCGCATATCTTTGTTGGACGGTGGTACGCCGCCTTCTTTGTTTCATCATCATCTTGAGTGGAGAGGAGTAATGTTACAGGATCGGGGAACTTGGAGGAGAAGGTACGCTTTACAAGGAAGGATGGAATTGTGCTTCTTTTGTTGGATGGTTGTTTGTTTCATCGTTGTCTCTGTTGATCTTCTTCTTTCTTCTTCTTCGTCTTCTATACACGCGAAGCCCCGGCGAGAACTAAGCTTCTAGTTCCGCCTGCTCCTTGGCCTGATGGGCCGCCCAGTAATTGTTTGCTGCGATCACTCGATCCAGCAGCTCCTGAGGCACCGGATCCCCCCGGCGCTGGTGGGGAGCGATCTGTGCAGTGTGGACCAGTGTCTTCCACTTGTCCTGGAACAACAGGCCTGTTAGATGGAAGAAAAAAAACAAAAAGACAATCCAACAGCACTGACCTTAAGATCCACGTATGTCCTGTGCTTGGCGTTCTCAAAAGCCTGGAGTTTGACATCACGCCACCTGGAAGGAAAAGACCAAACGAGATAAGTCAAGAGAAACAACAAAACAAGAAACAAAACTTCGTTACCTTCCAGTTCCAAGCTGCTCGACGGCCTGGACAAGGGATTCAACCTCGCCAACGCTAAACGGCCTCCTTATGCGCCGCTTGTGGATCTCCAGCGAGTGGCTCTTTGGACGCATGGGAACAAGAGCCAGCCCCTGAGCACCACCATTTTCCACTCCAACCCCGACTCCGACCGCGGGGTGGAGGATTATGGCCTTCGCGTCGAGCACCCGAGGCTTGTACGGGGTGGCCTGAGATAAAGTCGAGGTCGAGTCCGACTCGTTCTGCTTGGCCTGGTCGTCCAG